AGTCAATGGTTAGCTATGAAGATATTTATCAGCAGTTTTTTCCTTTTCCTGTAATTTGGGAGACTAATGTAGTTAAGGTACTTTAAAAATCAATAAACAGTACAAGACAGGTTTAATCTCAAAGTGATTAAAAAATATGTCATGAAGCTAAATGATAAGCCTTAAGATCTGTATAATAATATAGCCTAAAGAAATGTATAATAATATAAACAAAAGCATGTGAACTAGGTTATTTCCTAAATATATTTCTCATTGTTTATAAAGCACTGTGCAATAGGAATAAAATGCAAGCCACGTGTGTAATTTTAAATTTTCTCATAAACTTTCATATTAAAGTTTTTAAAAGGTGAAATTAATTTTAACAGTATATTTAATTTAACCCAATATGCCCAAATTATATCATTTCAACATGTAATCGCTATCAAAAAATAAAAATAAAAAGATAATTTTCCTTTTTTTTGTATTACTCCTTTGAAATCTGTATTTTATACTAAAAGCACTATCGATTCAGTTTAATCACATTTCAAGTGCTCAATAGCCACATGTAACTAGCAGTCCCCATACCGGACAGCCCATGTAATGTAAATGCCATGAGTCAAATACAATTTCTAAATTTCAAAAGCACAGCTACATAATGAATAGAGAGCCTTAAAAGCAAAATATCTTTGGCACAGTCTTTAAAGGTAGATATAAGTATACAATAAAGTCAAAACACAAGAATAAGTTAATACTTACAAAGCACCTACTGTGTGCCAGACCCTATTTTCAGGGCCTTTTAAGCATCACCATATTTGATCATCACAAAGGCCTCTGATGAGGCACTACTAGTTGTCACCATTTTAAAAATGAGGAAACTAAGACACGGGAAGGTCAACGAAGATTGAACCCAGGCAGTCTGATCCAAGACTCTTTTAAACACTACACAGGCTATACTGCAAGCATAATACCCAAAATAACAAAGGCTGGTGTGCAAAAGATAAAATATGGAATAAAGCAAAAATTCTTCTTTTGGAATTAACAGGTTTATTTTTTTTTTTTTAAATGTGCCCCAGGCATGAACGAGCTCTGGCCACCAACACAGGCAACAAGCTAGGATGAACTAAGGACTGTACAACTGCTTTGCCCCTGACTGATACAAGAGCAACACCACTCATCAGGTGTGTGCTTGCCCATTGCCAAGGGGTTTGGAATTAACAGGTTTAAAAGCTAAATCATGTCATATAATCCTTTTCCACAAGAAGATCCCATCTCCAAATATTACAAAGCAATTTTAGGTTAGAATTTTTATTTTTAAACTACTATTACCACAAATATTTTCTTTAAGCTTATGCTGGTACTGTGAATATTTATTCATGAGTCAGTATTGAAAACTTATAGTTTTAGCTTAACAAAAAGTGAAGAATATTAAAAGAATTATTTTAAGTTCAAGAACTTCCCAGTTTGTGGATTAATTTCAAGAAGCTGCACTTTTTTACTGAAACATTTTATTTCTGATTTTATTATGCTAATTATAGTGTAGGCTTCTTTTTAACAGTTTCATTTTCTTTTACAGAGAAAAGAAAAAGAGCCTGTCTTCCTCTCTTCGCCTATCATATTCAGGAATAAAAAAGGATGAAAAGATCAAACAGGCAAGAAAAGAGCTAGCTTCTTTCCTATTTCTCAATTAAGAAAAAGCAGAATACTATGAAATACTAACATCATCCCAGATGAGTACAAGGCACTTCAAGATTTTTAGCTAAAGCATGGACAACATTCACTTTGACATGTACATGCCATCAGCAGAACGGCATAAACACTGCCTAATGTCTATAAAAATTTCAGATAAATGCTGGATATCTCTTCAGAAAATAATATTCAAAAATACGTGGTCTGAACTAAACAATCCCACGTTAAAGAAAATCTGATCAGAGCTTCACTGTCTGACCCGTCTGTGTACCTAAACTCATACGAGCACGACAGCCCTGACCCAGGTGAAGGTCACGGCTGTCTGCTCACTAACCACGGCGTCTCTGGAGAGCAGGATCACACCACCGTCGGTTACATAACAAACCTATCAACATACTGCTTTTAGTATCCCTCCCACATATTCAAAATTTCACCAAGGGAGCCAAGGGGGTGGAGGGGCTCTTAAAACAAGAGTTCATTTGCACAATGTGCCTGAGCAGAAATGTAGCAATAGAACAAAAAATACAACAAAAAGGTTAAAGAGTTAATCTGTCACCTGCTGTAATGAAGAAATAACTCAAGATTACCAAAAATTTTACAAGTAATGTATTCCCATTATTTACATTTTGTCTTTGATCATGAACAACTTTATCAAATAAATTGTCTCAGGAGAACCTCAAAGCTCACCTGTGTGCTTTTTTTCCTTCTCTCTCTTCCTTTTGACTGCCTATTTTTTTATGTGTGAGGCACTGGGTCTGGCCCTTTCATATATATCACCCTATTAAGTCTGCCCAACAAGGCCAGGCAATCAGTGTTTCTGCTCTAGAGAAGGGCAGACAGAATTACTGAGCTTCAGCTCAAAGTCACACAGCTGTCAAAAGGGAATCAAGGGTGGACTCTGCAGGCAGGCTTTCTGACCGTCCAATCTCAGGTTTCTTCTTCAACACAAGGAGTTTCTTTCTTGTTTCATTCCCTACTTACTGACCAATTCATCTACCATGTGCACCTTCATATTCTCAAATAATGACCCACACATGTACACAAAGTTTTAATGTTACTCATATCTCTGAAAACCCTGGCCTTTATCTGCTACTTCCAATAATATTAAAACTTTAGGTGAACTGTAGGGTATGTGAAGTATATCTCAATAAAGCTATTATTTAAAGAAAAAAAAAAGAACATTAAGCATGCTAACAACAGTAACTCTTCAGTTATCCTAAATAATAAAAATCACAGATAGCATGGCTGAATTTTGGCACAGGTAATCCAAAAACCTAATCTGTAACTTATCTATCAAAATGTTTATAGATCAGTCCCTTATTATTGCTTTTTAGAGAGAGAGACATCAATTTGTTGTTCCACTTATTTATGCATCCATTGGTTGATTCTCGTATGTGCTCTGACCAGGGATTAAACCTGCAACCGTGGCATATCAGAATGATGCATTAACCAACTGAGCTACCTGGACAGGCCTGCTACCTTTTTGAGACTAGGTTACTATACGTGCCTTGACCTCACTAATTATGGTTTCTCTACTCTCCATCCCACCCTAGCGTTGTAGTGATTTGATATTTATATACATTACAAATGATCACCACAATAACTCTAGTTACCATCTATCACCATACAAAGTTACTACAATATTATTGACTATATTCCATATGCCGTACATGACATCCCCATGACATTTATTTTATAGCTGGAAGTCTATACCTCTAAATGCCCTTCACCTACTGTACCTGCTAGACAATCCTCTCTCCTAGCAATCACCCTTAAACACTATTTCCATCATTCCACAACTCTGTTTAAAACCTTTCATAGTTCCCTTTTCCATGCTACAGTAAGTCTAAACTCATCTGCCAAGCTTTCAAGATTTCCCCCAAACCAGCTTCACCTACCACCCACTACACATTACCTGGGCAAGCAATCTCTTCGGTGTCCGATGAACATATCAAGCCTTGTGCTGGATGTTGTGCTTTACATAATCCCATCCCTGACATGTTCTTGCCCACCATCACCTGCTCATCCTTCAAGGGCCAGATCAAACCTTACCCTCGCCCTCCAGCCCTCTCCCTAACTACTGCATACTGCAGCCCCAGGTAACTCCTACAGTACTGGGAATCTTTAGTCATCTTTTAGATCCCTAGCACCTATATCCAAGACATAAAAGACACTCATGTAATGAGTGTAAAATGAGGTGAATGTAAATTGAAACATGCTGTGCCAAAATAATGTGGCTTTTACCCTCTCATTCCAAATCAACTATACTCACTTCACTAGCAATATAAGTAGCAGAGTGCAAAAATAATATTGATGAACAAACCAATAAGGTACCAGATGCTCTCCTGGCTCCTTCAAACATTTCTATATAGGAACCAATTCAACAGACTCTGGGAGTCAAGATGAACAGAGCTGACCTTTTATTCCCGCTACAGTCTCCTCTGGGAGTTAATAATGCCAGAATCAAATTTACAACACACAGATCTTGGTTTCTCCTAGGATGACAATGTAATTCAGGGCTGCTCCCCATAAAAGAATAATATCTACAATTATTTACACTTTGAAATGTTAAGACTAGTGCATGATTATTTATAAATGTCTTTTGCTTTTCAACCACTGAAAAGTGATAAAACAGAAATATAAGTACAAAAACAACTGTCCCTTTTTAATTTTATTAAGTTACTGGAGTGACACTGGTTGATAAAATTATATAGATTTAGGTTTCAAGTCTACAACTCTGTAATACATCACCTTGTATATTGCATTGTATGTTTACCACCAAAAGCCAAATGTCCTTCCATCACCATATATTTGACCTCCTCTACCCTTTTCCACCTTCCCCCTGCCCTCCTTTCCCTCTGCTATCCACCATACTGTTGTCAGTGTCTATGAAAAAAAATCTATTTTTTAAGCCAATGCTAAAATTTTTATAGTGTTGCCAGAGAATACCAAGAATCCAGGTTACATCTGTGCCAGATTATAAGTCACAAATATGAAAATCATTATACAGCTTGATTATTATTACTTTAGCATGCCAGATAAAAACCTACATACAAAAGCTCTAAAACAATCCAACAATATTTTAATACATGATTCAAGATAGAGCTTCAACTTCTATGATTCAATATAGAGCACTTAAAAAGTTCCATTTCCCACAGAAAATGACAAAGATAATTACAGAAAGTACAGCCTTCCCCTGATGAATGTAATTCAACAAAGCAAAAAAAGAAATAGGAATTCAATTCAAGGAGGTACATTTAGACACTAATGAGAAGCACAAGAACATCACACACACCACTACTCTCTGAAACATTAAACACATTCAGCATCCTTACCCGTTTCTGAAATGTATGTAACAGGGTGCTGTCGTAGAATTTTAGCAGGTTTAGGAGACAATGGCAACTTTTCTGGTTGCTTTTTGGCATTTTTTTCCTGCACTGTCTCCTCTGGTTCTGAGTCTGTATACAAGAGGAAAATGAAAGAAAACTTTGAAAGAAATATAGTACATGTCTTTAAAGTGATTATTGTTAACCATATCCTCAAGGCCTTCCCTTTCCAAGCAAATCTCTTCTGTAATTCTCACAGGTTACCTCTACCCAGCATTAAGTCTTTTATTAGTTTTCTATTGTTGTTTTAACAATTCACCACAAACAACACAGATTTTTTTTTTTCACCTTACCGTTCTTAAGGTTAAAAATCTGAGTCTCATTGGGCTGAAGTCAAGGTGTCAGTAGAACTGAGTTCCAGTTTCCAGTAACTGCCAGCATTCCTTGGCTCATGGCCCCCTTCCTCTATCTTCAACATCAGGCAAAGTCCTTCTCATGCTGCCGTCTCTCTGGTTCTCTGACCTTCCACAGTCAATCTCTCGTTACTCACTTCTCCTGCTTCCCTCTCCCTTGTGACTACATTGGGCCCACCCAGACATTCCAAGACAATCTCTCTATTTTAAGGCCATCTGACTAGCACCTTTAATACGACCTACAACTTTAATTTCCCTTTGCCATGTAAACTAACATAATCACAGGTCCCAAGAATTAGGGCAGACATCTTTGGGGGCCATTATTCTGTCTGGCCCCCAAAGATGCTCTGGCTAATTGCCCAGAGCACTTAAATATAAATCAGGACAAAGTGTAAGTACTTACTATAGTGCCTGGCACAAAGTAGATGTTTGATAAACTTTAGAGTGCCTTCCCCTTCACCATGCATTTAGAAATCCTGTCTCATACTACTCTAAATTGTATCAAACAATTAGACTTCTAGGTTCCAAAAAGAGAGAAACTCAAGAGAAATTGGGATATGTACTTTCAAATTCCTTACAATATACAGCAGTAAGACTCATAATAAACACTCGAATGATTTTAGAATTGAGGTAGAACTTTGCTATCACTGTCAAAATCCTAACAATCTATAAATGCTTCCTTAGGTTACATTTTTAATTTTAGGAATTCACACCAGGTGGGTCTTCTCCACAAAAACAAAACCTAAAACTTTCTAAGTTCTACACTTATTTTAAGATATAAAAAGCATACATAAAATTTCATGTTCCCTATCTTAAAATTATACTCAAAGAACTTTTCAATTATCCTACATTAAATGCAACAAAAAGGGACAAATTCAAAAGCACAAAAATTAAAATTCAGATCTGTTTCTAAAGCAATACTCTAAGATACTATTTTTCAAGTTCAGTTTCAAAGCACCTTAGCTGGACAAGAAGGTAATAGTTTTTAAAATAAGTCAAAGTTTGAGACATACTGTAAACTATATCCCTCCCTGAGAAAATCTTTTAATACATTAATGTATATAGGCTCTGACAAATTTTGTAGTATAATAAAATTGTTTCGAACTTTGAGTAAAGAGCCTCCTCACAGCACCTAATCATCATAGATGGCTGTGTGTCTCAGAACATCAGTTTGAAAAACTGTTTAAGGAATAGAAGATAATTTTAAAACTTTAAAGCTCCTCAAAAGAAATTACCTGAATCATAGATGATCCTCTTTTTCTTGTTTGATTGCTTCTGTTTAAAGTCGTCATCTTTACAAGAACTATTTACCTATAAACATCACAGTATAATTAGAACACAAAGAAGCCTATATAACTTAACAACTTTTCTCCTCCTTAGACTTGGCCTAAGTGACTCTCCACTAGATATTCTGCCCCTGGAGACATTCTTATCTGCCATAACTGGCAGCTGGGGGCGATGTAGATTTAGTGGCATCTAATGGGTAGACTAGGGATGCTACTAAACATCGTACAATGCACAGGACAGTCATCCACCAAAAGAATTATCCAGCCCAAAATGTTAAGAATGCCCTATTTATGCTGAAGAATAGGCCAAACAATAATTGCAAAAGATGCGAAAGAATTCTAGAAAAAGCTGTATTATCATTCAGCTCCACTTTCAACACTAATCTATGTATAACAAAGAGCAAAAGGATGTCAGACTTTTCAAGGGAAGTACTTTCAAAAAATGACAGATAGAGACAGAAATAAAAGCTAAGGAGTTACAAGACTACTACAACCCAATGCCTAGTGGAAAGCTAAATAAAACCAGAGCATAGGTATTGTCTATATTTTTTTTTTACTTACATATCACATTTCTGACAGATTCAGAATTTCCCAAAAAACATCATGAAAGCAGACAGAAAAAAACTGACTATAATCAATTATAAGGTACAAATATGTTCCTAGCCATTATAACAAAACATCAAAATATAAAAATAATCAACTAACTTGCAAGGAAATGAGATGAATGAACCATTATAATTCAAATACACCACTGGACTAGAAGACAGAGTTAGAAGCAATTATTGTAACAGCAGTAAGAGAAAAGGGTATTCAAAAGGGAAAAAACCACAGAAAGGGAGTCCCAATTCCTGTTGATAAACTAAGCCCAACTCTGGGACTATCCCCTGAAATATGTCTGCATGAAACCACTACAAGTGCCCTGCTAAGGATAAAAGAACTGAAGAAAGATTTAAGCTGCTGCCCTTCACAGGAAATACAAGAATTTGGAGTTTTGAGTTCAGCAAAGTTAGCTGCCTGATAAATCCAAAGGACACTCTTTAGAAGAATAGAATTGTAAGTACCTACACTGTATCATTCACACTGCCCAAGGTAGAAACTACCACACACAAAAAAGGATAACTTATGATGGTTAATTTTATGTGTGAACTTGACTGGGCCACAAGGTACCCAGATATGTTGAGTGATTTTATGAGGATGTTTTGCAATAAGTTTAACCTTTAATTTGACTGAATGAGTACAGCAGATTTTTCTCCCTACTATAGGTGGGCCTCACCCCATAAGCTGAAGGCCTAAAGAAAACAAAAGGCTGACCCTCTTCCAAATTTAAAAGAATTCGTCCTTCCTGTCTTCAAGCTGAAACACCAGTTTTTCTTGCCTTCAGACCTGAACTGAAGCACAGGCTCTTCCTGGGTCTCAAGCCTGCCAGCCTTCAGACTGGACTAACACCATTGGCACTGTTGGTTCACAGGCCTTTGGACTCAGACATGAACTACACCATCAGCTATCCTAAGTTTCTACCTGCCAACTGCAGGTCCTAGGACCTGTCAACCTCCATAATCACATGAGTCAAATCTTTATAATAAATCTCCTTATACACATACATACATACCTACACACACACCCCTACTATTTCTGTTTCTCTGAAGAACCCTGACTAATACAGATTTTGTTACTGAGAGGTGGAGTACTGCTGTAACAAATACCTGAAATATGGAAGTGACTTTGGAACTGGGTAATGGTAGAGGCTGGAGGAGTTTTGGGGTGCATGCTAGAAAAAGCCTAGACCGCTTGGAAGGGCCTGTTGGTACAAATGGGACGTTAAAAGTGATTCTAGCAAGGTCTCAGGGATAAAAGATGAGACCTACAGAGAAAGCCTCTATCATCTTAGAGAATACATGTATCATCAAAAACATAATGTTGGTAGAAATACAAACATTAAAGGTCATTCTGGTAAGGTCTTAGACAAAAAATGAGGTTATTGGAAACTAGGAAAGTCAATCCTTGTTATAAAATGACAAACTGTTACCCAAGGAGGACAAGCAAAAAAATAAGGCCTGCCTCCAAAGCCCATCCTCACCAGAAGTCTAATGCCATTCACCTGGGGAAAAGCACTCATGTCTCTACAAGCAAATTCTGGTCTTAAAATAAAGTTTTAGCAACTGAAGAGTGTCCCATCTCTACTTCAGGAAACCACCAACGTATAAAAATTCAGTAAGCCACAGTAATTAGAAAAAACTCCGTATTATTTTTCTTTTTCCTCTGCTAAATGAGTTGAAATCTGTCTTTACTCAAAGCTCCTTCAAGTCCTATTAAGTCTAGGAAGTGAGTTGACTTAACTTTTCATACAATTCTAAATTGTATTTGGAAAACTGACCTTGATTTCCTTTATTCCTTTCTTTGCTTTTAAAGTTTCTTCAGCGGACTTTGTTTTCTCATTCTTCTTTACTGTCTCACTTGCAGATTTCTTTCCACTTGGTATAACCCCAAAGAATTTCCGAATATCCTAAAAGAAAAAAGGAGATTTGTAACTAAACATTAACTGCACAAAATTCTCATTTCAACTGGAAAAAAGGGGACAGCTCTATACACACACTGGTTTACCCCAAGTGATTCAATCATCATGAAACCGTTGCGTGTCTAGCGGCATTGTCTTCACATGCAAAAGTTAACTGACAGAATTACCTGAGTTAAAAATGCTTTGCCTAATGAAAAGCAATATTAATTCTAAGAATCTGGCCAAAAATAAGCAAGTACAATTTTTGTTAACAATCGCACAATTACTGGAGGGGCAAGTAGCAGGCACCGGCTGACAGCGCGTGCACGACGCACTCATCCCGCCGCCCCAGGCGCGGGGGCAGAGACGACAGAGTTGACGAATGTAATCCTTGCCGCTGGGATTTAAACTCCAGTTTAACAGAATAACAACTCTTAACAAACCTGATCACTTAAGACTGTAACAACTAAGAACCTTGACATTATTTTCCTTTATACGGTATTCCAAATTCTGAAGAAAAAATTTTGATCCTTAGTATGATAGTCTCTTTAATTACTCTAACTCCAGTGTGAAACTGCAGAATTCAAATTAATCATACTGAAACATTTACAATGTAACTTACAATTAAAATCACTTTTCTTATCTTTTCCATACATATTCCTCCCTACCCTTTTAGATTTTAGGTTTGAAGAAACTGCTATAGAGAAAAGGGAACAGAACCTTTGAATCAAAAATGGGCAGAGGACCTGAACAGACACTTCTCCCAAGAAGACCTACAAATGGCCAACAAATATATAAAAAGATGCTCAACTTCACTAGCTATTAGGGAAATGCAAATCAAAACCACAATAACATACCACCTCACACCTGCCAGAATGGCTGCGATCAATAAGACAAATAAGAGCAAGTGTTGGAGGGGTTGTGGAGGAAAAGGGGCTCTCCTTCACCGCTGGTGGGAGTGTAACTGGCACAGCCACTTTGGAAATGGGGGTTCCTCAAAAAATTAAGAATAGAGTTACCACATGACCCAGCAACCCCTTTTCTGGGTATCTACCCAAAACACCTGCAAACTCTTACTCACAAAGATATATGCACCCCTGTGTTCACTGCAGCACTTCTCACAGTGGCCAAGACATGGAGCGATCAGTGTCCTTCAATAGAGGACTGGATAGAGAAAATGCGTCACCTATGTACTATGGAATAACAACTACTTAGCCATAAGAAAAAATGAAATACTGCCATTTGCAACAACATGGATATACCTTAAGGAATATTATGCTAAGTGAAACAAGTCTCATAGAACAAACTAAGAACCATATGATTTCACTCATATGTGGGATATAAAACTGAAACTCATAGACACAGACAGTATGGAAGTTCCCAGAGGGAAGTGGGGCAGGGGAGGGAAGAGGCAGTTAGTAAAGGGTAAAGGGGCCAAATACATGGTGACGAAAGATAGTCTAACTTTGAGTGGCAGGCACACGCTCAACGCAATATACACATCATGTATCCTAGAAATGTACACTTGAAACCTATTTAAACTTATTAACCAATGTCATCCCAATCAATTTAATTAAAAAATAAAAATATTTAAAATTTTTAAAAGGTCTTGGTTCACATCTCGGCTTTAATGCCTTCTATTGCGCAAGTGTGAGCAAGTTACTTTATTAGTCTGTTTTCTCATCAGTAAAGTAGAGCTAATAACACCACCTGTATGAGAATTAATTATGCATTAATCACAATTTTGGCTCAGTAAAAAGCCTGCCTTCCCTTCCTTTATAAACAAACTATTAGCCCTTTGTCACTGAAACTTCTCCATTTACAATGATCTCTGCTCACAGTCAAGGGTATAAGGAATACAAAATGAGAATTTAGGCTCTGAATTTCAAAGAACTGGGTTCAAGAACCAGTTATACCTATTTCCCTCTTCTTATCCTTGATGATTATAATTTTGAGTTTTCAATCCTTTTTATGTGTTCCAACCTATCTCACTTTATTGCGGTGACAAAAATGCCTGTAGAAGTATTTTGTGAAGTACAAGAAAGTAAATAAGCAGTTATTTCCTAGATCTGGCAGTAACTGTCATACTCTTAAAATGTCAAAAACCCCAAATGTTTTACACACACACACACATACACACACGCGCAGCTTTGTGGAGTTCAAAGCAGATAAATGGGGTACACAGACATGTTAAATTCTGTCAAAAATGACTGATGATTTCCCTGGTTTTATACGCTCTTATATCAATTTTCCAATTAGAAAAGTCACTAATCCATCCTAATATAATTTAAGTCTAAAAAATTCTATAGAACAGATACCTCAGCTATGAAACTGGGACATTTGTGCCAGATGCAAAAGAAGAGATGGATGATAAACAAAGCCAGTCTTCCATGTAACCTGCCATGGCTGCCAACTACTCACTCTATTGCTTCTGGAGGAAGTGAGAATTTCATATTAGAGTTTCGCTTTTGAAATTACCAAGTGGTTCTTCATTTCAGTGGTAACTGTTTAAAATGAAAACATGGACACATGCACAAAGTGCACATGCACTACAGAAATACCAAAACTGAGGATTAATAATCAAATTAAAGGCAGTGGTATTCTTCAATCTGTTTTAGAACCACAAATGCTTAAAACAGCAAACAAAACAAAACATAATTCAGGAAACGAAATGGTAAGGCCTGGCGAGCTCTCTGATTTTTGTCTGTCCCACACCGCTACTCCTCCACACCGTTGTATTTCCTTCCTAAGTAACTCTATTCAAATACCCTTTCTTTTCCTTTCCCTTTATCCTACCCTACTGTCCCACACTCCCTATGCCTTATACCCGACAGCAGCAGCAGAATTAAAGAAATTACAGCATCCTGATCTAACTCAATATACACTAAAAGTCGAAGATTTTTGAAAAGAATTCTCATCAAAATTAAAGCCATTTTATGCGCACGTTTTTAGTATTATCTCTAATGTGAGCAGCACCTTCTGTATAAACATCTACAAGGCAGAGGTCACCAATTTTGCTTCACTTTATAGAATGTGACTTTACCTTAGTCTTCAATTAACATTCTCTGTCTAGTATGCCAGGTCTTCAAAGATTTCAAAAACTGTCAAAAAACAAGTCTAGTGGCTAATCATATTCCCAAATAATGAATCTAAATGTCACCTTACCTGCACAGAATAACACACTGAGTATATATTTTTAATTTACTTTTCTAATCTTGACAAAGGGAAGGCCTTCTAAGCAAAACATAAAGGTTAGAAACCATCCATATGGCAGATTCGACTAGATAAAAATAAAACAAAAAGTGCCATAAACAACGTTAAAATACAAGCAACTAATTTGAAAATGTCTACAAACATATGAGTTCCTACAAATCAATAAAAGATAACCCAGTAGAAAAATACACAAGAGCTACTACTAATAGGCAAATTATAAAAGAAATGCAAATGTCCAACGAATATAAAAAAGATGCTCAACTTCACAAATAAATAGATAAATCAAAACTTGATTATTTTTCTCTTAAGTTTTGAAAGACTGATAATGCCCAGACTCATCAAAAATGTGGGAAAACAGATGCTCACACACTACAATGCTGATGATAAAAGTAAAAACTGGTATAACCTTTTCAGAGGACAATCCAGCAATAATATCAAAATTTTAAATGTGTAATACACTTTATCTCAATAATTCCATTTCTAAAAGAAATTGTAAAAGAAATAAAGATACTTTTATTTGGTGAAAACAGAGAGAGTAATAATTAACTTTATTAACTGAACAAACAGGTCAGTTCAAAGAATGCAAAATATGTAGGCCATGATCACACAGAAGTTAAAACAAATTTTATCAAAGATAGCTAGTAAGTTTTTCATGATTTTACCTGCAACTATTGTACACAGATTTCTCTCTTCTGAAGATCATATGAAGTAAACAGGGCAAATATAATGACATTCCCTTTTATAGATGAGTAAGTGGAATTGTAGTCAAACTCAGGCCTTCTCTCAATTTTGCCACTTACTACTACTAATCAATAACTTGGCTTCTCTGTCCTTTAGTTTCCTCCTGAGGCCACTTGCCTCATAGGATTCCTATGGGGATTACAGGTAGCAAACCAAAAACCTCCGGAGTAAAACCTGGTTCTCCTCTTCCAAATCTCTTTCATAGTTTTCCACTAGACTATGACGGCCTCTTCACAGTTTTCCTGTAAGTCTAAGGATCTATACAAAAGTAGCCATTCCCCCACAATTAGCAATATTGCCTTTCTAATTTCCTCACTCCTGATACATTTGATTCTTGCATGCCTATAAATAGGCACTGTGCCAGGGGCTTAAGACACAAACAGGAAATAACTCTCATGAAGCTATCTGGGAAACAAATTACTATATTAAGAATTAGGTACAAAACAGTCCTAAGAACTAATCACAAGACTATGAACCAAGAAGGAGCGCTTGACACAGAACGTCCCAGGGAAGGCTTCTCACAAGAGCCCAACACCTGGAAAACAGAACGGAAGTGTCTCAAAAAATAAAAAACAGAACTACTGTGTGAACCAGGGATCCTGCTTCGGGGTATTTTGCCAAAGATACCCAAAACATTAATTCAAAAAGATATATGCATCCCTATGTTCACTGCAGCAGTATTTACAATAGCCAAGATATGGAAGCCAGGAAAGTGTCCATAGACCATAAAAAGGGAATGAAATTTTACCATTGCTACAACACGGATGGGCCTAGAGGATATTATGCTAAATGAAATAAGTCGGAGAAAGACAAATACCATATAATTTCACTTATATGTGGAACCTAAAGACAAAAACAAACAAAACAGAAACAAACTCAGATACAAACTGATGCTTGCCAAGTGGAAGGGGGTCCCCGGGGCTGGGTGAAAATGGTGAAGGGATTAATAAATTGGCAGTTGCAAAATAGTCCCAGGGATGCAAAGTACAGCATAGGGAATGCAGCTAATAATACTCTTAACAACTATGGATGGTTTCAGGTGGGCACCAGACTTA